TGAGAATACAAGGCGACAAAAACTTTCTTGTAAAAGTCAGAGCTCAGTTAGCAAAGTATGGCTTAAAATGCCTGTCTCTGCTTCCCAAGGTGAGCATGGTTTAACTGGGAACCGGTGTTGGAACATATTCAGGAGCACGCTTGAAAATGCTTTAACAACTGGGCCTCCCCCCAAAAGATGTACTCATGAAACGCTTTTAAGTTCTATTTGCATTATTAATATTTTCTCCATATGTTCCATCTGTTGCCATTATTCCATAACCTTTCTTTTTCTGGTGTTTAGTCTCTTCAAGTGTACCACCCATCCCAGATCTCGGTGGCAACTGTCTGCCTCTTCTGCTTCCAGTCCATTTTCCCACTTTCCTCAAGGAGTCTTCCTCTCAATTCTAAATCTTGCCCTTAGACTAGGGGACACCAACACACATGTTACTTGGTCTTCTCTCAAATACTCTAGTTTCCCAGCTCCTCAGTCTCTCCAAATCCCATGAGCTATTACTGCCTCCCATTTCAACCATGCACAGGGAGAGTCATACCCTCGATCATGCCTTGACACACAAGTAATCCACTTCCATTATTAAGAATTCAGAAATCTCTTTATCCATCAGTGACCTTCTATCATTCCATCTTTCCCTATGCTTTCTTCCTCTTCGTCATGAGTTGTGGGGGCAGAGCCAAGATGGCAGAGTAAAGGCAGGGATTCACCTGAGCACTCCCCCAAACACCTTCAAATACCTTTTAAAAAAAGACTCTTAACAAATTCTAGAGCAGCAGAACCCACAAAATGACAGATTCAAACAAATTTACAGCCCAAGACAACTTGAAAGGTCAGCAGGAAAAGTCTGTTGCACCAGGGTGAGAGAGGAACACAGTCCAGTATAGGCCTTACCAGCACAGCCCCAGCCACAGCAAACCAGGAGTAGGCCTTGGGAGTGCTACTTCCAGAGCTCTTGGCCCACAGACAGAAAGGGGGTCAAACAATTGGTCAGAAAGAGATTACAGGGATCATTTTGCTAGCACTGAGGCAGTACTCTGTTGCTTCACCTATACTGGGATCCAGGTCCTGAATGGTGGTCTCAGGGTGAGGAGGAGCACTAGCATAGCAGAGCTTGCAGCCATAGTTGGGGTGGGGAACTCTCCTCACAGTTCCAGGGCAGAAAAGAGTGTGTTCACTCACTGACCAGAGAACAGGCCAGGAGAGTAATAAGCATTTCTCCTTAGATCATACCACCTTGGAAGAACTTACATGTCCCTAGAAGTATTTCTGAAAACAGCTATACAAAATCCCTGAAACTTGGGACAGTGCGCCCTCCACCCTGGAAGCAAAGCCCTACTTTAATAAAGACTTAGAAGTCAACTAATAATCTGGGGAAATGCACAAACTACAAAAAAAAAAACTCTTGACTATTGAAAGTTACTATGGTAACAAGGAAGATCAAAATACACACTAAGAAGATGACAAGAAGGTCAAAGCTCCTACATCCAAAGCCTCCAAGAAAAATATGAATAGGTCTCAGACCATAGAAGAGCTCAAAAAGGATTTTGAAAATCAAGTAAGAGCGGTAGAGGAAAAACTAGGAAGAGAAAAGAGAACGATGCAAGAAAATCATGAAAAATTAGTCAACAGCTTGGTAAAGGAGACACAAAAAATACTGAAGAAAATAACTCCTTAAAAAACATACTAGGCCAAATGGTAAAAGAGGTCCAAAAAGTCAATGAGAAGAATTTCTTAAAAAGCAGAATTGGCCAAATGAAAAAGGAGGATCCTTAAAGGCTCACTGAAGGAAAATAATTCCTTAAAAATTAGAATGGAGCAAATGGAAGCTAATGACTTTATGAGAAATCAAGAAACAATAAAACAAAACCAAAAGAATGAAAAATAGAAGACAACGTGAACTATCTCATTGGAAAAACAACTAACCTGGAAAATAGATCCAGGAGAGATGATTTAAAAATCATTGGACTGCCTGAAAGTCATGATCAAAAAAAGAGCCTAAACATCATCTTTCAAGAAAGTGTCAAGGAAAATTGCCTGGATATTCTAGAACCAGAGGGTAAAATAGAAATTGAAAGAATCCACCAATCACCTCCTGAAAGAGATCCCAAAATGAAAACTGCCAGGAATATTATAGCCAAATCCAGAGTTCCCAGATCAAGGAGAAAATATTGCAAGCAATCAGAAAGAAATAATTCAGGTATTATGGAGCCTCAGTCAGGATGACACAAAATTTATCAGCTTCAACATTAAAGGATCAGGGGACTTGGAATATGATCTTCCAGAGGGCAAAGGAGCTAAAATTACAACCACGAATCACCTACACAGCAAAACATCCTTCAGATGAAAAAATAGATATTTGGGGCAGCTAGGTGGCGCAGTGGATAAAGCACTGGCCCTGCAGTCAGAAGGACCTGAGTTCAAATGTGGCCTCAGACACATAACACTTACTAGCTGTGTGGCTCTGGGTAACTCACTTAACTCCAATTGCCTTGCCAAAAAAAAAAAAAAAATAGATATTCAAGTATTCTTGATGAAAAGATCAGAACTGAAGAGAAAATTTGACTTTTCAAGAGAAACATAAAAAGGGAAATAGGAAAGGGAAATCATAAGGGACTTAATAAGTTTAAATTGTTTGTACTCCTACATGGGAAGATGATATTTGTAACTCATAAGACCTTTCTGATTATTATGGTAGTTACAAGGAGTATATATAGACAGAGGGCATAGGTGTGAGTTGAATATGAAGGGATGATATCTAAAAAATAAAATTAAGGGGTGAGAGAGTAATATACCGGGAAAAAGAGAAATGGAGAGGTAGAAGGGTAAATTATCTCACATAATAGAGGCAAGAAAAAGCTTTTGCAGTGGAGGAGAAGGGGGGGAAGTGAGGAGAAGTGAGTGAACCTTATTCTCATCAGAATTGGCTCAAAGAGGGAATAACATACACACTCAATTGGGTATAGAAAACTATCTTACTTAGCCTACAGGAAAGTAGGAGGGGAAGGGAATAAGAGAAGGGGGTGGTGATAGAGGGGAGGGCAGATTGGAGGACAGGGTATTCAGAAGCAAAACACTTTTGAGGAGGGACAGGGTGAAAGGAGAGAGAGAATAGAATAAATGGGGAGGGGGGAATAGGATGGAGGGAAACGCAGTTAGCAATAGTAACTGTAAAAACTATTTTGAACCAAGTTTCTCTGATAAAGGCCTCATTTCTCAAACACATAAAAAACTGAATCAAATTTATAAAAATAAGAGCCATTACCCAATTGATAAGTGATCAAAAGATATGATCAGTTTTCAGATGAAGTAATCAAAGTTATCTATGGCCATATGAAAAAATATTCTAACTCACTATTGATTGGAGAAATGCAAATTAATACAATTCTGAGGTTCTACCTCGTACCTCTTAGATTGGTTAATAGGACAGAAAAGATAAATGTCATGACTTGCAGTCCTTTCACCCCACAGCATCCTCCCAGGCTCTGGCTTCACTTTTCTTTTTCCAGTCTTGACCCTATAGTTAACCAGTCCAACCTAGTACTGTTCTCTGCTCTCAAATCCTTTGCTTGCTGCTCCTTTCACTGTCCTGACTCACCAAACTCCAGCCCTGGATCATTCCCACCATCTGCCTTCTCTACTCTTACTCACATGCTGCCAGACAGAGCTGGAAGAATTCATCTAGTAGTGCTAACCATGCACACTACAAATTTATTTGAGCAAATCTCTGCTGCATCTTCACTGCTGCAAGGCAATCCTTTCACTTCCACCCTTATTGGAATTCTTTTTGTAATCCTCACAGCAACTGTTCCAAAGCGTGCCTTTTCTCCTTACACCTCCAATGGACTCTCAAAACCTGTTCCAGCTAGCTCCAGCCCAGCACTGGGCGTTCTTAAAGGGCAGTGCCCTAAAGCCCTGACTTTTCTTATCCTAACACTGTACTTGATAAAGTGTTGCTGTGGACTTGCTACCTTCACTATCAAACCTGATGTATACCTTTCCAAAGCAAATGACAAGCAAAGGGCTAGAGTTAGTTTGGAAAGACACGCCCAGTGGGATATTAGGTGTATTCCTCCTCAGAACCACTATGGGCACCTATGCTATCCTGTGTTCTTTCAGTAAGACATTTGATTCGAGATTAACTATGAATATTAATGTCAGGTTAAAAGGGCAGACTACAGAGGGAGCAAGTATGAGACTACTTCATTACGCACACACCATTCTCTTAGCATTGAACCTGCTTATGCAAGCATTTATAGAAACAGCCAAGAAAGGAGGCTTTTGACCTTTTTTGTGTTGTGGAACCGTCTGGCAGTCTGGTGAATACTATGGATGTCTTCTCAGAATCAAGTTGCTAAATGCACAAAATAAAATATGTAAGATTACAAAGAAAACCAATCATATTGAAAAGGAGTTGGCAAAATATTTTTTTAAGTCCACAGATCCCAGAGTAAGAACCCTTGCCTTAAAATAATCCTCAACCAGATAATATATAGCCAGCCCAGTAACTATGGTAGTTGCATCCAGATAGTCAGGCTTAACTCTGGAACCATTAATGTAAATTGTCTCAAGGACCTTTGTGGAATGTCCCCTTTGGCTCCCCAGAATTGATGAGGCCCTGCCTCCTATGAAACACTTCTTCAGGTCCAGGCTTTTCACATCTCCCAGAGATGGAGGGGCACCTGGAGCATTACACACCAGCCATATGCTGAAAGGTCACCTTGGACAAAGTGGGGGGCAATGCAGGACTTTGGCGTAAGAGGGAGACTAGGGTTGGATATTTAGATACAGAGGTAATTTGTATAGAGATAATCATTAAACTCATGAAAGGTCACCAAGTGAGAGAATGTAGAGGGCCCAGGATATGACCATGCTGAATCAGCTCAAACCTGGTCCTGGGAGTTAACTTTCCAGTGGAAGAATTCATACCTCAGAAACCACTACAAATCAGAGCTTGATTTATTGATTTACTAAACTTACGAAAGTTGTAGAAAAAATATTAACAATGCTGATTAGACTTAAAAGTATAACATGGGTACTTTTGGTGGGGGGGGGGAGGAAGCCAGTTGTTAAACATTTACCAGCATACCATTGGCCCAGGATAAAGCCTGCCTGCTGTTAGTAACTGTTTGTGACCAGTTTGAATGCCAAAGATAAATAGGAATATTTCTACCAGTCAATATAAGTATAGTACTGCCAGATTTCTCACATGAAAACTTCTTTCAGTACTAGGTCAGGACTAGGTAATACAGAACATATCAGCAGATCAATATTTATATACAGAAAGGGTCAGTCAAGCAAGCAATAAATGAAGTTTGTAAAACACCAAATGAACTGACTTTTACAATAACAAGGTAAGGTATAAAACCATATACAAATAATTTAGCTTAGAGCACAGTTCCAATTCCAAGTACAAAACCCCTCCCTTGGACTTGATCCCCAGGTTTCTTAGCTTCTCAGGGCTTCCATGCCAGGCTGGCAGCAACATCTTGCCTGGAAACTCGGCTGCAACATCCCTCTCTGTGGCTCCAACTCCTGCGGGAAGGTAGGAATCACCTTGGGAGTCTATGAAGGAGATGGTGCAGGCAGGGCAAGGGGAAGGGAAGGTGTCCCACTCCCTCCTTTCTCTGGGTTCACTTTATGGTTCCCATGCTATGACTGGTCTTTACTCTCTGGACACAGCAAGAAAGAAAAAGTGAGTACTATTCTGGTGATTTGATTTTTGGCCTTGCTTTTAAACAGATTAGTGAAAAGTTTGTCAATTTTATTAATCTCTTCAAAGAACCAGCTGTTGGTGATATTTACAATTTCTGCAAGTTTTTTGGTTTCTAGTTTATCTGTTTTTCCTCTACTTTTTGTCCTCTAACACTTCGTGCTTATCTTAGACTCTCAAAATCTTTTTTGCCTGTGTTGGGTAAAATTATCTTGCTTAATGCGGATCAGATGTTGTAATGAGAATATAAGAACCTATGGCATCAGGAATTACATGTAACCAGAGATGTTAGATTATTTGTGGAATAGGTCAAAATATTTCCAAACCACCTTCTTCAGAGGTGAAGAAAGAGGATGCTTTCCCCCTACCCTACCCCCATCCCCACCCTCACCTTTAGCCCTAGAGAGACTTTGCTCTATGAAGGGGCACCATGCTGATAGCAGTGACTTACCTGGGCTGGGGTGAGGGTGATGGTGTGTGTGTATATGTGTGTGTGTGTGTCTATGTGTCTGTGTCTGTGTCTGTATGTCTGTGTGTCTGTGTGATCCAAGCCCTTCAAGTGGTCTGGATGCAAGTCTTCACAGAGTAGAAGGAAAAAAAACTGTTCCTTTTTCTATACTGAGTGCTAGGAACCAAGGGTGGGGAATCTGTGAGTAGCCTCGAGGCCACATGTGGCCTTCTAGGTCCTTGGGTGCAGCCTTTTGACTGAATCCAAGTTTTACCAAAAAAATAAAAAATCCTCTTATTAAGGAGATTTGTTCTGTGAAGTCTGGATTCAGTCAAAGGGCCGCACTTGAGGACCTAAAGGGCCTTTGTGGCCTTGAGGCTACAGGTTCCCCACTCCTGTAAGCTATTTATTTGGTAATTCTCCCAGTCTGATGACACTTGACTAATAATAGTCCACGTTAACAGGGGTCTGAAAGCAGGATAGAGAGCAACTTACATTTCTTACCAGTATGTTTCCATTCTCACAACATCTTTCTCACCTGGAATCCTATCACAATTCTCTATTTCACACATAAAATCATAGAATGGAATTGTGAAAGGGAGGGCCCCTTAAAAGTGAGAAGATTAGAACATTGCACAGAGAAGTATTAAAGAGGGTGAGTTGTTATTCAATCATTACAGTTGTGTCTGACTCTGTGACCCCATTTGGGGTTTTCTCGGCAAAGATACTGGAGTGGTTTGCCATTTCCTTCTCCAGCTCATTTTACAGATGAGGAAACAGGGTCAACACACTAGTGCATGTCTCCAGCCACATTTGAATTCAAGTCTTCTTGATTCCAGGCCCAGCACACCATGCCACGTAGCTGGAAAGAAGGTAAACTAGAGACCAAATTTAATCTCATCAGTATCAATGAAATTTGGTGGAATGGGATACATGATTACCATATGGCCATGGAAGGGGATGTCTTATTGACAGAATCACAGAATCTCAGTGTTGGAAAAGGTCATCTAATCCAACCTATATCTGAATAGTGATGCCTTCAAGCAGCTGACAGCTTTATCAGGGTTACTGGACACCAATGCCAACAATTCAATCTTACAGAAAGGGTGCATTTGAGAGGAGCAAAGAATGGGAAGTATAAGGTGACGCCATATTTGGTGTTTCACATCATCATGATTTTGTCAGGTTCGGGTACTCACCTCCATGGAATGGCCTCTTCCTTCCTTGGTCCTGATCGATGTCACAGCTGGGCTGGCAGGGCCTTGTGGTCACTCACTCCTACACAGCCACCACCCCATGGTCAGTTTTCCTTCCCTGTTATTCTCAGCATATTTTCTCCTATCACACTCACTCTCTACTCATACTACTATTTGCTCTCATCACTGACCTAGTCAGTCATTCTGACCACAGAACCTGCCTGTTCTCTCTGGTCCATTTTGTACCACATGAAGAAAGCCTTCTGGCCATCTCTACCTCCTGACACTTGTATAATTGACTCAAAGTCTACCTTGACATTCAGCCACATGTGAGAGAACCAATAATTATAACAGTAGCTCACATTTAATCTGGCTCCTTGAAGGCTGGCAAAACACTTTACAAACATTATTTTAGCAACTCTGTGAGTGTTATAGCCATTTTACAGAGAAGGAAAATGAGGCTCACTGGGGTGAAGTGATTTGCCAATAATCACATTGCTCCTAAGTGTATAAGGCCAGGTTCAAACTTAGTTCTTCTTGAACTTTGTATATATCTCCATTTACCTGTTGACTTCCCATTAGACTATGAATTCCTTGAGGGTGGGGAATTTTTGGCCTTTCTTTGCATCCCCAGCACTTAGCACAGTGCCTGACACATAGTAAGCACTTAATAAATGCTTGTTGACTGACTATAATTTCATCAACTCGGCTGGAGGAAAATTAATTGATCAGGGGTTCTCTGTTCGAGCATCCCTTCCCCCCCAATCCCAAATATCCTACTTCAGTTAAAGGATACTTGTATGTCCTGGTCTCCAGCTCCTTCCCCATTCTGATTGCCCTCTGGCAGCTGTCAGATGAAATATCTGTAATGACCTCAACTGAATTAGATTCTGGGACTGAGACCCCGGTAGATTTCCTCACTCTATCACAATGCTGCTCCCTGGGTTTGTGCAACACAAGCCTGTGCCTTCCTTTGTCAGAAACCTATCCTCCTGGCCCTTGTGGAAAGCATAAAGGGCCTTAATTAGTAACTAAGCTAGTTAATTAGTAACTAAACAGGTTTATCTCAAGGGAGATAAAATTACAAATTTCTCTGTTAGCTAAGCCAATTGGAAGACTCCCAAACCACCAAATATCCTTAATGATTTGGTGTCAAGTCATTAAAGAACAGGGGAGACTCTCTGTAAACTGGCATATTGGGCTCTTTCAAGTGGAAAATTAAGCTAAATATATGTATAGAATTAGCCCAACTTGATTATTTTTCAGGTGAGAAAAATTAAGGTCAGAAAAGTTCGGGGATTTGCTCATGGTCACACAGAGGGTAAATAAAAGAACTGAGTCCCCTGGTGTTCTAAATCTAGCATTCCCTTACTTTCACCATGTCGGTCAGACTAAAGAAATGGGGGAAAATTCTCCACCTGAACTCCCTCCCTCCTCCCACTGTTCCCAGATATTCGTTTTTTTTGGCGGGGGGGTAACCTCTACAAGGTATTCTGGCTAATTACATTTTCTGGTTTACTGAAAACTAACCAGTAGAGTGAGATAATTTAATTCAATCTATCTTTAAGACCTGAGGCTTATGGATAACTGGTGTATATATTGATTTATGGAATACTTGCAGGGTGCCTCCTACATTAGCTCACATTCATATGTTGTTCTCATTGAATCATTTCAGTCATGTCTGATGCTTTGTGATTGGGGGGGGGGGGGTTGGACAAAGATACTGGAGTGGTTTGCCATTTCCTTCTCCAGCTCATTTTACAGGTGAAGAAACTGAGGCAAACAGAGATTAAGTGACTTACCCAGGGCGACACACCTAGTAATTATCTGAGGCCAAATTTGAACTCAGATCTTCCTGACTCCAGGCCCACTCATTCATCTAGCTGCCCTGCATGTTCATTTAGCACTTAAGAATTATAAGAACTTTTATAAGGGAAGCTCTTGGTAAACCTAAAAACCTTTAGCAATACTAACATAAGGTCAAAAATCTCAAGGGAAATAATGACAAAAAGTGGGAAGGAAAAGGGCCATGCAGTACCAAATCTCAGCCTTTGCTAGTTATTATATTTAATATACTTAATGTACTTGTATTGCTACTTATGAAGCAGTAATTATCAAAACTATTTGGTAACAGATTAAAAAAAAAGGAAAGTTGATTGGTGGAACAGATTAGGTACACAAGATCCAGGAAGAAATGAACATATGAGTGTAATGTTCAATAAACTCAAGGACCTCAACTACTGAGGTAAGGACTCGTTATTCTACAAAAGCTGCTAGGAAAAAAGTAGAAAACAATCTGGTAGAAATTAGATGTAGACCAATATCTCACACCATAATCTATAATAACATCCAAATGGATCTATGATTCATGAACTATATAAAGGGTTACATCACAAATTAGAAGAATAAGAAAGGAGATACCTTTCATAAGTATGGACATGTGAAGAGTTCTTGACCAAACAAGGGTTGGAGATGGTTATAGGAGATTAAACAATTTTTATTGTGTGAAATTGAAATTTTTGCATAAACAAAATCAATATAGTTAAAATTAGAAGAGAACCAAATAATCAGGAAAAAATCTTTGCAGAAAACTTCTTTAATAAAGATCTGATATCCAATATATAGCAACTTCCTCTACCAAATGATTTAGAGAAGCTGAGAACAAACCTGTTAGATGGGAGAGAAATCTTAATTTGCTTTTATTCATTGACCAGAAGGAATTATGTCATAAAGTACCAATGTTGCTGTCTCTTTATCTTAAAGGAGAAGTCTCATGAGAGGCAAGATGTGTATAGGCATGAAGGTAAACTCAGACAGTCTGTACTTGAGTTTTGAGAAAGAATGGAGTGAGTATGGAGGCAGATGGGGCAGCTGGCATGTCAGCAGCTCCTAGTCACCCCCACTGCCTCCTCTGGTCACCCCAAGCAGGGGTTCACCCTGACACCAAGGTGAGTGGCCCATCTAGGCAGACCAGTTATTGTTGAATTTTCCAATCAGGAGAACTGAAGATACCAAACAAAAATTTGCCTGCCCTTCTTTCCTTCTCTTCCAGCCTAGGACAGATGTCAAATCCAAAATTGTAAGGCTTATCTAAAGCTTGTTAGCATTTCTGTTGAGTTAGTATTTAAAGCTGACAACAGAAAAAAATGTGGTTATTCACAGTCTTTCTGATTTGCTCAGGATAGATTAAAGTGAGGGGTGGTGACTGTTGGGAGAGAGACAGAGACAAAGAAACAGAGAAAGAGCAGAGAGAGACAGACAGAGAGATGGACAGAGAGAGACAGACAGAGAAAGAGTGAGGGAAAGAGAAAGGGAAGGAAGGAGGTAGAGAGAGTGAAAAGGGAGTTAGAGAAAGGAAAAGATAGCCTCAGACCAAACACTTGACACTTATTAGCTGTGTGACCCTGGGCAAGTCACTTAACCCCAATTGCCTAAAAGAGAGACAGAGACAGAGACAGAGAGACAGAGAGAGAGAGACAGAGAGAGAGAGAGAGAGAGAGAGAGAGAGAGAGATGAAAGGAGGGTGAGAGGGAGGAAGGGAGGGACAGAGAGAGGGGGAGAGAGAGATGGAGAGGGAGACAGATAGAGACAGTGAGAGACAGAGACAGAGAGAGATACAGTCTGAGAGACACTCAGAGAGAAGAGACAGAGACAGAATGAGTGAGAGAAAATCAATTCTGTATTGGGAATTACTGAGAGCCTTCTACCCGGGAGCTTTAAAGTAATGTGAAAAAAAAATCTTACTGATTTATATTCTATAACTTCCCAAAGTAGGGATAAAAGAGTAAATTTAGTTTTCTCCTTGGCAAAGTTGAAACTGGCAATGATTTCTGTCTTGTGGGAAGTTTTGGTGAGCTGTTTCAATAGTCGACATATTATTCCCCATTTTTCTCCTCTGCATATTCAAGGAGACCTTTTCACAGGTGTAACTGTATAGTTACCGAAAGTCATTCAACTCTGTATTCTCTTGGATACTATATCAATGCTAGACATATGCCTCAAAGAGGAAAAGGACCCATCTGTACAAAATTATTCATAGCAATACTTTTTGTTATAGCAAAGAACTGGAAACCAACGGGATACTTATCAACTAGGTGCAGGGGTGGGGAATCTGCAGCCTCAAGGCTACATGTGGCCTTCTAGGTCCTTCGGTGTGCTCTTTTGACTGAGTCCAAGTTTTACAGAACAAATCCTTTCATTAAGGGGATTTGTTATGCGAAGTTTGAATTCAGTCAAAGGCCCACACTTGAGGACCTAGAGGGCTACATGTGACCTTGAGGCTACAGGTTCCCCACCCCTGCTAGGAAATGGTTGAAAAATTAAGGTATGTAAATGCAATGGAATATCATTGTACCACACAAACTAATAAAAGGGAAGGATTTAGAGACACTTAAGGAAAAGGAACTAATGTAAGGTGAAGTAAGCAAAACCAGGAGAACGGTTTATATAATAACCACAACATTGTAAAGATAAACCATTTTGTAAGACTTAAGAACTCTGATCAACGTAATACCCAGTGACATTTTTAGAGGACTGACAAAGCATGCCACCTATTTCCTGACAGAGGGAAAGTAGGGCATGGCTACTCCTTTGATTTGTTTTCCTTGACTAAGTAAATTTGTTACAAGGGAGTTTTGTAGGGTGGAGAATCAGGCAAGAGAGGGTAACTTTATAATCACTGTGGTGGAAAGAAAGAAAGAAAGAAAGAAAGAAAGAAAGAAAGAAAGAAAGAAAGAAAGAAAGAAAGAAAGAAAGAAAAAGAAAGAGGAGAGAGGGAGGGAAGAAGGAAGAAAGAAAGAAAAGAGGTTTGTAAGAGTGCACAGAAGAACCCAGAAAAGAATAGAAGGAAGCTTGGAGGGAGACAGGCAAGCAGGATAACTTTGGAAACAATACTAAATTTGTTATGTATTTTTAAAAATAAGCTATATATAATAGAGATTCACATTTTCACAATTAATCCTCTTTTTGTTCTTTTTATATGAAAATGTTCAATTTCATTAAATTTGGTCAAGTTCATAATATGAAAAATACAATTTTCAAAGCAAGAGGAAACTAGCCTTGGCAAGCAAGAGTCAAGATGCAGAAAAGAGCAGACCCTGGGATCCTAGCCACCATAATAAAAAGTGCTATATCCAAGGGGAGAATTATGAGGACTCCATGAAGAGAGAAAGGATTTTGGGTGCTGGTAGTACAGTACTGAAATTGCTTCAGACAAATGTATTCCCTTTGTGTGATTCACTATTCCTGTACTCTGAGTGTTTGTCCATTGTTTGTGTTAGGCACCTGGATAGTACAGTGGATAGAGCATTAGACTTGGAGTCAGAAAGACTTATGTTCAAATTCTGCCTCATACACTTACTAGTTGTGTGACCCTGAGCAAGTCACTTAATCTCTTTGAGACTCAGTTTCCTCATCTGTAAAACAGAGATAACAGTATAGATAATTTTCATGAGGATCGAACAAAATTACCTATGTAAAGCACTTTGCACATCTTAAAACACAATATAAATTCTTATAATCATTATAATTATAACAATTATTATTATTGTAATTATTATGAGAATATACCATAGGCTTACGGGGAAATGTTTTATAGGTAGTTTTGGGGGGGAGTTTTTTGGGTTTTTTTTTACAAGAATGAGACTTTAATCAGTTTTAAATGGAATTTATAACACTAAGAGATAAGGGTTAACAAACACAATAACAAATGGACATCCAATTGGTATGAGGCATCAATTATCCTGTACACATTGTATGGTGGTGGTCGTGTATCCTCAGTGCATCTCACGACACACGGTGCCACTGAAGCACAGCACTGGAGGACCTCAAGAGGCTGTTGAACAGACTGGACTTTTTTTAGGATATATACTCTATAGGGAAACAGACTGAAAATGTGACTGGGCAGAGTCAAGGACCCTCAGAAGCCCCCGTGTCAGGGCCCAGCTCCACCCCTTCCATCAGCAAACAGGACATGCTCTAACAGTATTTAATGGTGAATGAGACACTTGGTGGCACCCACAGCCATCGTTAACATATTGCACACGCTTTCTAGAACTATAACACGGATCTTGAACCCTAATTTAATTTTTTAAAGCTGAACCATCTGAGGCTGCCTTGTAAACTCCACAGAGGCTTACAGCCCATGCCACAGCAAACCATCTTTATGCTCTCTGTTCAACTGCCCTTTGAGAATGGTGGCAAAAAGAGTCCAGGGGAGGGGGTGGGGGTGGCAGGGCTCCAGGTGCCTGGGGAGGGCCCAGGGCCCAGCGGGGAGCTCTGTGGAAAGGGACAGATACCTTCAAGTCATTTCAGACATGGAAGCTGCTGCACATCCAGAAAGGTTAAGCATACAGTCCAGAAACTCAAAGAGATGAGCTGCAGAATGCATCTCAGTCTACTTGTGAATACTGTCATAAATAAAGTTTTCCTAAGGACTCAAAAAACCTTTCAGTCATAGTAATTCTTGTCAAGTTCTATGGGGATGGTAACTGAAATAAAGTATAGGAGAGTATTATATATATCTATAGATATATATCTATATCTATATATATATATATTTAATGCCATTTTTCCATTTCCAATGACTACACCAAAAAAGGTAAGCAAGGCTTCTCAAAAATGCGGAAACATTCAGAATTGAAACCCTCATTCAGACCTTCACATTCCAAAGGAAAAGGAAGTAGAGTGCAAAAGCCCATTAGAATGTCATTGTATAGCTACTGTTTTTACTATTTCATTTTCATAATCACTCTTTTTTTGAGCTAATTATATCTACTGGCTGACTGTTAATGGGAAGTACAACAGCAGGGCTCATGAGCAATAGTTTTAATAATGCAGACTCAAAGAATTCTATAGAACTTAGGAGAGGCACCTACCCTCTGAGCACTCTACTCAAGAGTGGGAGGGGTAGTTGGGAAATAAACCAGAGGGAAAAGAAAAGGAGAAAAGGGGATGGGGGAAAGAAAGAAGGAAGGAAGAAGGGAAGAAAGAAAGAAGGAAAGAAGAAAGCAAGAGAGATAAAGAAAAAAAAGAATCAGAAAGGGATGGAAGAAGGAAAGAAGGAAGGAAGGGTGTGGGACAGCAACGACCCTTACCAGAATTAAATTCAGAGGCTTCTCAAGGTAGAAAGTAGAAAGGATTTTATTACCATCTTGTGAGAACAGCAACTTGCACCAAAAGTATTTCAATGCAAGACCATGCCCAGTGTCAGCCAAGCAAGCATTTTTATAGATCCTAACCGCAACTCCCCCAACCTAACCCCCTTCCTCTCAGCTCATTGATGCAAGCCTTGAGGGCACAATCTAAACGTGGCAAAACTATCCCAGCAACAGCAGTGGAAAATTATAGAATCGTTACACTGTTTGCACCTGCCTTCCCCCCTCGAGTGTCCTTTTGGTACATTGGGTTACATCCTATTTCCTCATTTCAGTTCCTGGAACAATTTGCGGTTATACTTGTTTTTGCAACAATTTGAACACATTTATTTGGGCTATTTGCAAGCTTCCTGACCTGGATATACATATATTGTTATTAGGGGTCTTCACCTCATTTTACTCATATAAGATTATATTTTATGAGAAGTCTTCACCAATCTCACTCAATCCCTCCTCTTATTTGTTCATTGAAGACCTCTCACACCTGTTTCGGTACGTTCCCTCCACTATTTCATCCTTTACTTCTGATCCTTCTGGCCTAGTCCCATCTTCCTGCTCTACTGGAGTCCATCCCTGCTTCCTTAAGATCACTAGCTGAACTGACCCCTCGGCTTTCTCTTCTAATCTAATCATCTTAGACGATTCATCGTGTATTAACTTAGTGATTAACCGCATCATACACGGGAGACATACAGGAAGAAGAATAACTCCAGTTATGGCAATCAGAAGGAACCATAAGGTTTGTTTTCACCAACCACCTCCAAACCAACACCACTAGCAGGTATTAAAGGAAGAGGACAAAGTCTGAACTGGAACATGAGCCAATTTCCCAATGTCTTTAGTAATTCCTTTTACCACTTCCCCATTATCATCAATTTTTACACAACACGTGGATAGATTTAATTTTCCACATACTCCACCTTCTTCAGTCAATAGGTGATCTAAAACTAATCTGTGTTGGAGGACCACTTCTCTGGTTTGGGTAGCCTGATCTCCTAACAGATCCAGAGCCTTTGCAGTCTGGTTGGTAATGATCTCTACCACTGCCTGGAGCCTAATTAGTCTGTTAAGGATATAAATTTGGGTCCTATATCCCCAGCTCCCATCTTGAGTCCAAGTAGCTGGTCCATAAGTTTGGATGATTCTTTCTGGGGGCCATTCATTGCCCCACCCATTTGCTTTGCCTGTGCTGGCAACAGAGGCGTCTAGGGCCCTTCTTAGCCGATCTTGACTGAGGCTATCATATAGTCTTATTTCAAGATGGCCTCCCTCCCTTCCTGGAAGGAAAAAGAATTTGGGGCGGACTAATCCAATATAATAAACTCCAGCCCAATCGAAAGGGAGGTGAGTGTAGGCAGTGAGGCCGCAAATCCAATAGTGCCCTCTCGAAGCTGGCTTTTTAGGTGCCAGCTCCCCGACCACCCCCAGTGAATTTTGGAGTGATTCCCTACTATTGGGTAGTAGTACATGTCAGAGAGCCCTAGAGGTCCACCTCCTAAGTTCTTATCCTTATACTGACATTTCCACAGGGCTACATTCTCCTCCCACTCACAGCTTGTTGTGATGGGATCTCCTGTCCGGTTCACTTTATTCCAATAATATGAGAGGTAGTCCCTTTCCCCAGTTTCGTTGGTCCATCCCCAATCTGTATAGGGGACTTCTGGAATTCCTTCCACCCTCTGGCATTGGGTTGCTTTTTCCCAAAGTTCAGCCTTTTTATGATCTTTTAGGAGGACTGCCACGTCCTTTGTGCCCCTGCTATTCCATTCTTGTCGGACCTCAATACAACTGTATGTTTCTGTTCCCGTAATTCCTGTGAGGGTCCATTTGTAATAACTTTCCCCTAATACAATTTTCCCTCCTGTTTGGTTCAGGCAAAATAATCCTTTCCTTTCCTCAGTAAGCTGCCAGGAACGTTCCTCCCAATCTTCCCAAAAGCCTTTCTCACTATTTACTACAGATTTATTGCAAAGGTGCCATTCTGGTTTCAGAGGAACAGGAACCCATGGCAATTGGGATAGTCTCTGGGGTCTACCACAAATCCAACAGTTAGTCAAGTTAAAATTCTGAGCTACAGTTTCCATTAATTGTTCAAACATATTTTTCTCTGCTGACCAGGAAGCAGGAGCAAGTTGTGCGGGGGTTACAGAACAGATCAGAAATAGCATCAAGGAAATCCCCATGGTGTCACACTCTGATTACAAGTAAAATGATTATGTAAAGAGGCAGAAGCACAAGCAAAGGTTCCAATCAATAACATGGTTACAAGTAAAAGAGGAATTAACACACCCCTCCTTCCTTCCAAAGGAATGGGATACTGCCGGACCCTGACTGTCACTGTTGGGTCTCTCAATGTGATTCTAATTGGGATGATCTTTACCTGCCCCTGATTATGGGGTTGTGCCCAGACCTTGGGGTCGATTTCTTCTTCCTCCCCTTCTCTTAACACTAGCATCCTTTTTGTAGGGATAATTCGGGTTCCTTGAGGTATTAACTGAATTGAGAGTTTGTTCATCAGATCCCTACCTAGCAAATTGATCCCTGTCCCCAGTATCAAAAGAAGTCTCCCATGGGCTGCTATTCCTTCACATTCAAATTCAATAATTTCAGTAAGGGGAACAGTAAAGGTGTCTCCCTTCACCCCAGAAATAAGTAGAGTATCTTTGGATAATTTAGTCCCTTGGGGCAACTATATGACTGAAGATCTAGTGGCCTCGGTATCAATCAAGAACAATAACTCTTCCTTTTTTGGTTCCCCCCTTAAATTTATCAAGGGCTCTGGGTGGGTCATTTTGATGAACCCCTGACACGCCTAATCTTCCAGTTCCGTAAGGGAGAAAACCCTCTGTTCAGACGTCCGTGAAGGGCATTCCCTTCTCATATGGCCCTCTTGCCTACATTCAAAACAGGTTAAGGGACCCCACTCCATTCTCTCCCCCAGGGGTCTAAACCCCCTTCCTCTTCCTCTGCCATAAGACTTTGATAATTTTGCCTGTGGTTTCATCATTGACCCAGCTACCGTCTGTACGGTCTGAAGCATCACTTTAGTTTGTTCCCCTTGTTGTTTTAGAGACGGTAACATGATTTTGGTGTTCTTATCCCTCTCTCTTTTCTTTTCTGATGCCCTGGCCACATATACCTTCTGAGCCATCTCTAGTAACTCATCCAGAGGCTTTGTCTGCCACCCGTCCTGTTTCTGTAACTTCTTGTTAATGTCTGGCCAAGAATTGGTAACAAAGTATACCCTCAATAAGTTCTGGGCAGTGGGGTCATGCTTCCCCAGCCCAGATAACTTCCTCATACACTCCTTAAGTCTAGGCAGAAAAGCGGAGGGGGTCTCATCCTTTTCTTGCTTCACCCCCGCCACTTTCTTCATATTCTGACTCCGGGGGACTGCATTTCCAATCCGCTGGACAATCATTGTTCTCAAATCTTTCATATTTTCCCTATGGGCTGCGTTGTTATGATCCCACCCTGGGTCCTGAAGGGGAAATTTCTGCTCTCCCCTAGGTCCTCCTTGTGCTATCGGGTAAGTGTGAGGGATTGTCTGATGTTGGCTACGTGCCACGTGGGGGTTGTGGCAAGATGGGGCAGGGACAGGTGTGAGGGATTGTCTGATGTTGGCTGTGCCACATGGGGGTGGGACGGCAAGGAGGAGGGGCTAGGAAGGTATATAATGGGGGTAGGGATCGGAGCTCTTTTTCTTGCTCCTGCTGGCTTGCTCCTGCTCTTGCTTTCCTGCTTGGCCTTGCTGTGATGGTCTCTGAGTAAAGTTCGAGTGCTTGCACCTCCCGATCGGCTCGTCTCTATGTTTATCCGGGTGGGCTCCAAAGACTGGTAGGTGTGACCCTGGCAGCCTGCTCCTGTTAGGAGGAGAGTGCACGACACAGCTGGCACAAGTGGTGCCCAACATGGGGCTCGAGGAAATAGGCCAGGGGCCCTGCGGATCAGTTGGTCTGGTCGCGGGAAGAGAGACAAGACCCCGTAGCTTACAGGGTGAGGGAAGGAAGATGGGACAGACGTTTGTAAGGTCCCGGATTGGGAGGTGCTAGGGAAAGAAGTATATAAAATAGTGAAAGAAGTGGAAGTCAGTGGTGAGGAAGAATCAGGAAGTGAGGCAGAAGACACTGTAAACAGGAAGTGGGAGAGTAGGCGGGGGGAGAGAAAGGAAGAGCGAAGCAAAAAAAGCTCCGCCTATCACATGGAGGGGCGGCCCCCTCCTCCAGAGTTCCCTTTTGAGGAGAAAGGTCCGGGGTATTTAAGTCTTACAGATCCTGATGGCCGGAGCCACAGGGTATCAGAAAGAAGAACAAAACGAGTTGAAGAAGCCCCAGGAGAGACAACAAGGACAGGAGAAGGAACACAGACGACAGAAAATTCAGAGAGAGCAGAAGGAAAAGACAGTTGGGATGACTAAATTGAGTAAACTGTTTTCACTTTTTTGCACGATCAGGACTTTGCCACAGGTTGCGTCAGCTCCAGTGCCCTGGGCACCCCTGTCCCAGGCCACACTGTAGCAACAGGAGGAGCCGGGAGTGGAGAGATGTATCCTGGTAGAAGGTGCTCAAAGACAAATCCTGACGTGGGAAGAGGCTACTCCTGAGATCATCTTACAGGGCAGCTGGACCCTGAACTCCACATTGTACCTCCTCGCCATTCGCCACCTTACACTGACAAAAGCTAAGACCCCTGCCAATTGGTTCCCCACTGCTGAAGATGCCAGGTGGGAGGACATAGGTAAAGCAATCAATTATCGTCGACACAAGAGAGAATGGCTGGGGGTACTTGCGTTGGCAGCATCCATCTTCGAGGAGTTCCAGATACAGGACTTATATAGCGGACAGCAATTGCTTGCCTCACAAATAGAGGAGCTGGCCAATAAATTCGCCCACGCCCTCCAAGTGCAGGCTGATATTGATCAGCAGCTGGAGGAGCAGATTCATAAAATAGCATTGGCTACCCAGGACATTGGAAATGAACTTATGTGGCTGGAATTGAGACAGCAGTTGCCATGCTATGGCCGATATCG